CCAGAGCCTTCAGGAACTCGGGGCGGACCTCATCAACACCAGGGGCTCTGCCACCAAGGAGTTGTTTGTTGCACAGCAGCTATTCTGTGGTATTTTACAAGTAACAGTACAGAGGAAAAGAGAGGTATAAAATCTAAATAAACAAGGACATTATTGGCACATTATGTGTGTACTGAAATCAGTATATCTAAAAACAAATGTAATAAAACCACTGTTGGCATGCAGGAATTGCATGTCATGTTTACAGCACCTCTTGAATAATGACATTGTAAAACAGATTCAGTAACACAAATATCCTTTATTTTGGGGGTTATAGTTTTCTTTGTTTTACACTGACACATTAAGCATAGGTAGCTTAATGTTGATTGTTAATCTAATCCTGTGCATACATATATTTTTGAAATAAAAGTAGGCAAAAAGTTAAAGTGGTAAATATGATTCTTAAGATTATACATGCCAACCCTCCCGATTTTTCCGGGAGAATCCCGAATTTCAGTGCCCCTCCTGAAAATCTCCCGGAGCGACAATTCTCCTGAATTTCTCCCGATTTTCCACCCGTCAACAAAATTCAAAAACCATATCCCAGATTGGCCCAGCCAATTCCAGTTTCCAACAATGGCTACTATTACCGCAGCTACTTAGTTTTAATATTACTCTTATTACTCTTTCTGGGTCACAAAATAAACTTTTAACATATTTTCAGGCGACAATGTAGCTGTGTAAACTTCAAATATCTGATCCAGGGAGAACAGCGAACTCCCGGCACATCGTTTTCAAACCACCGCGGTCTCAAGTTAAACATGATATATAAGTCACTTAACTTAAAAATGTTATTGTTTGGTCTGTGTCAGTGTTTTATTTGTTCGTGAGTAAATCGGTTTGGCTGAAATTAAAGTTATTAGATTAGATTAGATAACACTTGATCCCTGGGGAGGGTTCCTCCCGGGTTTTCACAAAGCTGAATAAAGTCAAACAGAAAACTGATTAAACAGAAGTGTGAAATGGTCGAAAATTTACGCCAGCATCCGGTTATATTTTAGACAGCAAGGAGCAGACGGTGACGTAATTCTGAAGGCTAGACCGTCCAATTTCACAGTCGCTCATTTCTGGTCTACCTGGCTGTCGGAGGACCCGGCCCACTCAGATCGCGAAGGCCGGGTCCTCCCCAACAGCCCTTTTGAATGTCTCCCTAATTCTCAGGTCTCAAGGTTGGCAAGTATGGTTAAGATTAATCATTTAAAAGATGAATTCTTTTGTGTGTCTGGGCCAAAGGCCACAGTTTATTCGGCAGTAGTTACACACAGTAAAATATACAAAACAAGTATACACACATACACATACATGAGTAAGATACATAGGTATATAAAAGTTCAAAGCTAGGCATGTTAAAAGATCAGAATAAATAAAGTACATTACAAGTAAAGTAAAGCGCTGCTAAAACAGGGAGAACACATGTGGGTTAATATATCTGTGTGTATGATTGTGGTGTGTAGCAGTTGGGTGTGGGCTTGTGTTCCTTTTTGTGACTCTCGTTATTCTGCTCCTCAGTGATAATTTTATGCATAGTTGAGGGGATCCTTCTGCTGACCCTCATCTTCTTACGCACAAGAATCCTCATTGCCATCGCCCTCATCCAGGAGTCCAGCAAGTAGGTTAAACAAAACGAAAAATCATCCACAGGACTGACTCGCTTTTAACAAACGTGATGTGAATAATTCAATTCTTAATCTTAAAAGGGACTCTATTAGTTTTACTTATCACAATAAAAGTAACAGTGCGTTTTTATCTTATTGTGAAAATGTCACAAAACCTTGGCATGACCTCATGATGTGTGTTGATATTCTGCAGAGCTATCAGCTACATGATGTCCACTCTGCTGTACCCTGTGGTCACCTTTGTTCTCCTGGTGGTGTGTGTGGCTTACTGGGGGGCTACTGCTTTGTATCCATTATTGTTATGTTTGCATGTGTGTACATGTTATTCTCAGGCTACACTATGGTCTGTAATATATAGATGATATTTGATAAACGCTTTCAGTTCTTTTCTTAAACAAATGGATGCAGATATTTGGCTACTTCAGGAAGTCCCACCTACAAAGTGGTGGCTCTGAACTCCACCATGAACGGCTGTAGTAGTATCGATGGCACCAAGAACTGTGACCCTCTGGTGAGCCTACTGGGGATAAATTTTCAAAACATTTTTTTTTCCTTGACTTGTCTAGGAGATAATTAACTGTAATTCAATTCAGGGTCACCTGATCCAGCCCTAACTATAATCTTCATAATAAAAAAAATCAAAACTTTCAGCCTTATCTTAAAAGTAGAGAGGTATGTTTTGTGAATTCAAACTGGGACCTGGCTCCATAGCAAAGGGACCTGATAGCTGAAGTTCTACCTCACGGTCTTGGAGCAAAGTGTTGTGATATGATGATTGATGGAGTCTTGTCATTCAGGATTAAAGAGGATTTAAAATGATTGTTTATTGTTTAATTGGTTAATAATTGGTTTACTGGTTTTGTTTTTTTGTTTTTCTTGTAGCCTTTTGGCAAATACATGCACAACCATTTCATACGCCATCACTGCTACTTTCTTGTTCTCCTCGCAGAACTTCAACTCATCAGATTACCCGAACTGCCCCTCAGCCAGCTGCATCTTCATCAACTACAATAGCACGGACACCTTCCGGAAGAACCTCCAGTACCTGCACATCTACAATGTGGTGGCTTTTCTCTGGTGTGTCAACTTTGTCATTGCTCTTGGACAGTGCACGCTGGCTGGAGCTTTCGCCTCCTACTACTGGGCTTTCGAAAAACCGGCTGACATCCCCATGTTCCCTCTCTTTGGAGGTTTTATACGCTCACTCAGGTAGGTTAATGAGCAACTACCACATCCTGCAACAATGAATGAGCAATAAGTAAATGACCCAGAGGTGCCATTTTCAGACCCAATTCTTTTTATATGATTACAGTATGTTTCAGAGGATAACACACACAAAGCCTAATATTTTCATAATTTATAATTGGGGGTCTGAAGAAATATTAGAAACATGGATTATTTTTCCACTAAGCTGCCACGGATGACTGTGAACGTAACTTTGTTTTATGTTCTGTACCTTGTCAAACGTTTTTACCTATAGGTCAGTCTTCAAGTAGAGGGTGATTCTTAGTACAGGCCGACCGCAGCAATTAAACCAGCCACATCTCTATTTTTTTATTTTAACTTTGATTTATAAATTGTCTGCTGTACACAGCTAATCTAATATTTCCTGACATGATGTCCCACATAAGTTTTGTTCTTCTTAAAAAAAAGAACTGCATTATCAATGCTGCTATTTCATCATTCATTCTTCAGCACGTTGCATTCAGTAGACAGCAGACACATGTCAGTATAAAAGATGGACATGCCAACATAATGCCAGCCACTGATTTTTCATGTCCTGTTTTGAAGCCTTGACTTGAGCGCTGTAATCTTAGTGTTTTGAAACCAGATGTCATGAGGCTGATCAGACTGAGAAACTGAGGGACACCCCATTCATTGCTAAACATTGGCCATATCCTAAGTAATACTCCTTCCTGACTCTAAAAATGATCCCAATTTACAAAATGGACTTGATGTTGTATTTACGAAACTAACAACTGGACCTAAAATCTTACCACAGAGCGAAGGAGCTAAAGAAGATTTTCACATATGTCTTTGTAAAAACAGAAGTGTCTGTTTTATTGTCGTCGCCAGTTTTCGGCAGTATTAGTTTAGTTTTTACACCTGGAATCTACATATATCTTTTAAACTGGCTAAGAATACAACATGTAATGATTTTTCAAGGTACCATTTGGGCTCCTTGGCATTTGGTGCTTTGATCCTGACCCTGGTTCAGATCATGAGGTTGATCCTGGAGTACATTGACCAGAAAACAAGAGGTAAGACTGATAATATTCTCAGATGTCACTGCCACAGGAATAACTGAGGATACGAGTAAAAGTATATTTTGAAATAACTGGGTGGTCAAAGATGTTTATATACTAAGACACTAAGAATTTTTCCCTGACTTGTCGTCTCCAGGGTCGCAGAACAGTTGTGTGCGTTTTATAATCTGCTGCCTGAAGTGCTGCTTGTGGTGTCTGGAGAAGTTTATCAAGTTCATCAACAGGAACGCTTACATCATGGTGAGAGGACATCATGTGAAAAACAACCTTTGATATTAACTATAAGCGTTTCTTTTTCTACTCTAAACATGATCAAATTTGTTTTACTATCTTTACATAATTTATCCAGTATTTCACTGGAGTCTGAAAATCCCTCTGTTTTGTTTTTTTTTTGTCAGATTGCCATTTATGGGAAAAACTTCTGTGTCTCAGCCAAAAAGGCTTTTCAGCTGCTCATGAGAAATGTGATAAGGTTTGTGTTGTAGTTATTTCCACAGTAAAGGGTCTGTACTTAGTACTGCATGCTTATAGTTCCTGTAATGCTTGTACAGAACATGAATGTATTTGCACGTGTTTAAGAGACTGAGTGATTTAGTGTCGTGTTTCTCCGTCCTGCCCTGTGCTCTCAGGGTCGTGGTGCTCGATAAAGTCACAGACCTGCTGCTGTTCTTTGGGAAGCTGATGGTGGTTGGAGGTGTAGGTAAGGACAACATCGATTCATCTAGCAAATCTGTCACTGCGGGGGTTTTTGTAAAAATACTCTGTAGCAGGTTTTATGTTATTATAGAATATTTGTGTGAATGCTGTAGGCATTCACACTATTGAGTTCCTGTTTCTCTTTATTCTTTATTATTATTGTGTGAATGCTGTAGGCATCCACACTATTGTTTTCCTGTTTCTCTTTATTCTTTATTATTATT